TAATCTAATGTCTGAATCAAGTAGATTTAGTGGTTTTTTGGTTGAGACTAGGATTTACGTTGAATCAGATTTAGTAAATCTGATAAATCCGGATTTATCAAGTCCACTCTTAAAAATTTTGAATTTGATGGATATATGGAATGAAATTGGGTTAATCTTTTGCGAATCATATCTACTTTTCAAGGTTGAGGAGCCTGTGAATATATGTTTTGAGGCCTTCAAGTTCTGCACTTTTGGTTTGATTAATTTTATTTTAATTACAATCTAATAAGTGCTAATTAAATGTGATTATTTTCAGTTTATGATTATTTATTTATTTATTATTTTTGCATTATTCAATCCACCCAATTCCTATGTATTTACATAACTACAATTTTTTTTTTTTAATTTTTACATCACCCAAATCTTTATTATCACATAAAAAAAAACACTTTGATTTTTAAAAAGTGAAACACACCTTATATATGGGAGTGTGAACGAGTTGAACACGAGCGAGCCAAGGCTCAGCTAGTGTTTGAATTTTAAAAAAAAGTATATTGTTCATATTTGGCTCGTTTATATTTCGAACACAAAAAAATTTGTTTGTGTTCAGCTCGTTTGCGTAGCGAGCTGAACACAATCCATTCACGAACTAAGAATCATTTTGACAACTTAGTCATGCAACCGTTAGATGTTAAGAGTGTGGGCAAGATTTAAGTCTTATTTTTTATATTAAAACATCATTTTAATATAATTTAATATATTTTTATTCTATTTTTTTAATTATTAATATTAATTGATTATAAATCTTTTGGATAATCCTAAATTGATAAATATTATTTCACGAGCACAAAAAAAAAAAAAATTTATTCTTGTTCTGCTCGTTAACATAGCGAATGTATAGAACATAAGCTTCTTAACAATCCAAACTCGAATTGCTTGCGAACAACGAGCTATATGAGCGGTATGTATGTAATTTCCGTTTCTTATTTTCTTAACAATTGGATTGTAATTCTAATATTGTCCATCACTCTATTTACAATAAAGAAGTATGAAAATGAAGTCCTAGTTTCATGTTTCAGATAGAAGTATTAGTGCTTTATGCTTTAGATAATGAGACTGTTTTGTGATGCCATCAATGGTGCAGCTCAATTCTCACATACATTCTTAAATTATAAATAGAAGGGTTTGCATCTCCAACATCTTATTTTTTACATTAATACCCATCCGATGTATCTTGTATCGTGTATATGTTGGCATATGTATGAAAATTGAAATGTGTTAGATATGCAATTTTAATACGAATCTGTGCACTTGTTTGAGAGAAAATATTAAGTCTGCATGTCATGCAGTGTATTTGATGGCGTAGTGTAATTTATACCATCATTCATACATCCGAACAACGGACGTAAACACTGATCATCACCGCAGATCATCACCGCAGCTCCAATAGGTTTGGATGGTTCGGATACTTTTTAAGAACGATTTACATACATGCCACTAAATTTTTACTTATTTATAAAACATCTAAACTATAATATTTAGATACATGTCACCTTACAAGTGCATCAAAATGTATATTTCATTTTTTAGAAGTAAAAAATGGGTATAAATGTAAAAAATAAAATTGAGGTGTTGGATGCATGAGCACACATGAGTTGGGTAGTATGCATGTTAAGTGTCCCTATAAAAAATACCACTATCACTTTAGCAGCAAGTAAGCAACAATAATCTCATATATAAACTTTCAATTATTGCCATAAAATTCCATGCAAATAAAAATAAGTTAATAATGTAAATATTAAAATGATGTGACAATCAAATCCAGGTGATAAATATGAAAATCAATAGAAAAGTAGAGAATATTAAAACAAAATCAAATGTTACCACCCTTCAGGAAGTGCTTGAACTTCTCGTTGGCTGCCACCAGCTCAGCTGCAATTCCAGCTTCATTGGCAGAATGACCGGCATCAGGAACAATCTGGTTCACAAGTTAAAAAGGTTAACAGTCTCCTGCTCCATCCTCTTTTCAACTATTTTAGATCATTTTTACCCAAATGTTACTTTTTTTTTACATTTATACCAGCTAAATTTTTGATACCACATAAAAATATCAGGATTTTAACTTGTTAAAGTGAAAGACATCTTTTCATTAGGGCTGTTAATTAGCTCGAAGTTTGTTAGTTGCTCTAAAATTGATTTGAATTTTAGCTCATATTGAAATAAACGTGCCCAATTATAAGCCAAAATTTTGAATCAAAAAAAAAATTTTTTGAGTCAATTTCAAGCTAAACATGGATCAACTCGAACTGGCTCAAGATCAGCCCAATTATAAGCCAAAATTTTGAATAAAAAAAAATTTTTTTTGAGTCAATTTCGAGCTAAACATGGATCAACTCGAACTGGCTCAAGATTGGCTCAACATTTTTTATTTATAAAAATATATATATAATGCTAAATAAGATTAAATATAACGAGCTACGAGCCGATTTCGAACAAGGATGAATCCAAATAACTCCCATTTTGTTTTGATTTAAAATTAAATATAACGAGCTACGAGCCGATTTCGAACAGGGATGAATCCAAATAACTCCCATTTTGTTTTGATTTCAAGCCGAATTGAACCAATTTTGAGCTAGCGAAGTCGAATAGCTCGAAGTTGAGCCAACTTGTTTTGATTTCAAGCCAGATCGAGTTCGATTCAATTTCGAACTGGCTCGAAATCGAACACAATGAGCTACGAACCAATTTTGAAGTGAACTTAATTCATTCTAGCGGATTTCAAGCCGCCCCTTCCTCAGCTCGAAAATCAGCTCATTAAAAACTGAAGTATAGTTTTTGGAAATGTAAATACATAGGAAATCAGAGGTATGTATGTAAATCTTCCTCTTAACATTTTATATCGTTCAACATGATATTAGGTTGATAAAGGTGAAGTTTGCTCGGTGAACTTGTAAAGGAAAGAGAGGCTAATCTTCCCTACAGAAAATATTCACTATATCAAACACCATGCAAAGGGCATTTATATGCATATCACTCGAATCCCATGTATTTACACCTAAACTTTAATGTTTACATTTATACCAACATCAGTTATATCAAATGAAGCCACTGCAATACACAACGAACTGCACTTGATGAGAGTAAAGTTATATTTATCTGCAGCACAAACCATGAGGCTCGAGCTTAGCTCATTAAGTGGCTCATGACCCATGCTTGATGAGCTAATTAGTCAAGTTTGAGCTAGCCCCGAATTGGCTAATTAAGCCAGCATCAAATATAGTAAAAATATATTAAAATTCATTGTTAAATTTTAAAAATATTTTAAAAATAAAATTTAACATTTTATACTTTTAAGTAATTTCTTATTATTTATCTCATATTTGCGCATTTTATCATTTCATTTTATCATTTTATAATAACACTAATTTGAATTAACATTATTTTCCGTCTTTCATAATAGAAAGACAAGTTGGCTCATGAGCCTGCTCAAACTCGATTAATTAATTGAACTCAAGCTAAGCTGATGGTAGCTCGAGCTAGAACTCGACTCAACTCATTTACACACATAATTAGAGGGGCTCACAGCCAATGAACGAAGAAACAACGAAGAGATCAAACAAGGCATCATAAACTTGAATCAATTTCAGCCACTTTCCCCGAATTTTTGTTATCATTCACTACCATATAGATTTAGTAAAGCTCCATGAGAAACTTGGGGCTGTTTAATCCTGTAAGTGTGTACTTGTTAGTTTCCTATTGGCTTTTTCTTGGTTTCATGAGATTATGTTGTTAAAAGCAGTATGCACAAATTAGAGGGTATCAAAGTAGTTAAATGAACACCGTTCGACAAAAAAAGAATAATTACAAAAGTATTAAAATTGTTCTCTGCATCTTTGCAAGGAATCATTTTAATCCCAAAGTTTATAGAAATATCAATTTAGTCCCCATACTCTTTTAACGAGGCCTAAAATACTCCTCATTTGGATCCATTTTAGCTCATATTACAAGAATCTAGGAACTAATTTGACACTTTTACAGACTTTAGGACTAAAATGACCCAATCTAAATAGCCATGGAAATCTTTTGACACTTTACTCGAGAATAATGAATCATAAATTAATCAGCTGATTTGTGAACTATTTACGGTGAAATGTATTAAAACTAATAAAAACAAGATTAGTTGGAATAATGCTAAAAATTGGATGATTGATAAATAATAAAAAAAAACATAGGTAGTATGAGGAGAAGTATCATTCATAAAATATTGAAGGCTTTTTAATGATATCAAAATAAGAAAGAGTAAAATTTCCTCCTAATTTTCTTCAAAGTAAGAATAGGAAGAAGGAGGAGGAAGCTAACCTTCAACTCGGCCTCCGGCCATGCTTTGTGAAGATCCCAAGCGGACATCACAGGGCAGCAAACATCATATCTTCCCTGTCAATCAACTCTTTCAACAAGTTAATTCACAGATACATAAGAAAAAAAAAAAAAGAAGGGAAATTTACATGCCTAGCACACAAATCTTATGCATTTACACAAATAACTAAACTCTCATATTTACATACATAGCAGTTTGGTGCTTTAAACCTGCGTTCGACTTTTAAAAAGGGGAAATAGAACTATTTTTTATTTGATGTTCAAGATTTGAGTGTTAAGTGTATACCACTCAATTGTACGCATTCACATATCTAAAACCCAAACTTTGCTTTTTTTACATCTAAACCGCCCAAATCTTTCAAATCATATAAAAAGTTCCACTTTTTTCACTTTTAAAAGTGAAACACCTTTTCATAGATGTGTAAGGTGGTATGTATGTAAAAATAGCTGTTAGATATGTAAATACATAGGAATTGAGTGGTGCATTTTAAACCTTCCTTGAGGGGACAATGTGAGTTCATTTCTTCCAGAACTTAATACCCCGCAGCTTACTGAAGCAAAATTCGTATACAAAAACAAATAAAGGGCATTTAGATATATATCACCCAATTCCTATGTATTTACATATATGACACCTAAACTTTACTTTTTACATTTACACCGCCTAAATTTTTTCATATCGTATAAAAAAAACCACTATATTGACTTCTAAAAAATGAAATACACTTTTTGATGCATAGATGAGGTGGCATATATGCTAAAATTGAAGTATAGGTGCTGGATATGTAAATACACACAAATTAAGGGGCGCGCATGTAAACAGTGGACGTGTAGCCCAGTGATATTTTCCCTTGACTGCAAAAGGAAGATCTAACGTTCAATCTAATCTTTCAAAAAAAATAAAGAAAAAGAAAAAGAAAAAGAAAAAGAAAATAGAAACAAATAGCTGTACCTAACTTTATGAAAACAAAGGCAAATGCAAAATAAAATTGAGTGTTCTTGTGGGAAAAAAAAAACAACTTTATAAGAAGCATAAACCTGCAAAATTATAGTTTTAATGTGCCGGATCTTATCAACATTGTCCAGAAGATAGGAATCAGATGGAAGAAACCCTCTGTTGAAAAAATAATGGCTTTCAATCCTTGCAAATGCCTGCATATAATTTAAATGAGGGTGTCATCTGTAACATGAATAACAGAAAGAATATATATATATAGAAAGATAAATAGATAGATAGATAGACAGATTTTAACCAAACTTCATAAGGGGTGGAATTCTTCTTTAATGGTCAGAAACATATCGTACATTTACAATTCAAAAGACAAGGCGTGAAAAAATGAGGTCCCCCCTTAGAAAAATAATACAGGGAAGAGGAAAATACTATAAAGAAGCATAATATAGCAATCTAGTCATCAAATCTCCCAATAAAGAGCTTCCACGCTCTAATCCTTCATGTCATTATGATTTGGCTAGCCCTTCTTGTAAAGTCCCTCAATTGTCTGTTTGAGCTTTCACATCAGCACCCACAAATTCCGAAGCTTTTTCCCCGTTATGAAACAAAAGAATAGTTGGCACAGAGAAAATCTGAAGTTTGCTTAGCGTGGCTGTAAGGCCCTCCTGATCGATGTCAAGTTTGTATGTTGTGACGTGGAAGTTCTTTGCTCATCTAAATAAAGAAAATGAAAGAAACCTTAAATTGTGCAGCTAAATTTTTACTAAAAGCACATTTCTAGTTCTTTTGGGTGCAAATTACACTTGTTCAAGTAAATATATGATCGATGTCAAGTTTGTATAGATATATAATACTGATTATTAGATAATTCACTTTATAATCATTGTCAGACCCTATTTCTTTCTCCCACGAGCTCCCTCTACTGCAAGAGAGCTTCCCTGCGAGAAATTTGTCTTGGTCCAACATTACATGGGAGAATTGCGTCCTTCCTTTCTCCCGCACGCTAAGGCATGGTCAAAACCTCCTCCTTCTCTGCTTCATGAGCTTAACCCGTCGCCTCCTCTCTCGACTTGATTGCTTCCTCCACTTTTCCGAGCTTGATAAAGACATCGTCCCCTCTACCTCAGCACAACTGTGACATCACGGCTCAATGCCGAATTGATGCAATTCCTTTCTTCCCTTGAGCACATAGCAATCGGCCTTTGTGTCACTTCTTCGAACACTCTACTCCTTCTCCCTCCTCAGCTCTCTGATCACCTTCCCGTCTGATATTCGATCTATAGGGTGAATTCCCCTCTTCAACTTCCGATCCGCTTCATTTCCACTCCACTCTGATTGCTCGCTTCCTCTCCTTCGACTATCTGATGCTTGACTCCTCGCTTTTTCTTCTCCTTTAATTCTTCGTTTCCCCTTCCCCCGGGTAACAAAAACGGGAACGTTACAGCTTCCTCCACCTCCTCCTCCTCCAACTACCAAAATCTTCTCCGGCGAGCTCCAGTGAAAAAAAGTTCTTAGTTCGAGCTCACGAGCTGCTACCAATGCGAGCCGAGCTTGAGCTTGACTCGAGCGCATAATTTGCCAAACGAGCCGAGCCCAAGCTTGACATGGCTCGAGCTTCACTCGACTTATTTGCACTCCTAATAATTAGTCACTAAAAAAAAATTGCTAAAATATTTTTAGTATAGCCATATCTAAAAATTTTCAACTCTAAATACTACCATTTGCCAAATTTTGTAATTATGAACTTATCAAAAGAAAGATTGCCATTGTAATATTCTAAGTGGTTCAATTGCAAATCTTATACTAAAAATGAAACGCTCAAATTAAGAGAGTGTCTGGAGCAAAATTTCTATACATTAACATTGCATATAAAGTGGTTCAAATATCTGCGATCATAGACATGCTTTCTTATTATTTATTTAAAATTTCTACTTATTAAAATTCATTTGTCAAGTATAAATAATTTAAGAGACAAAGAAATAGCGCTGATTATCTTAAAAACCTAACATAAGTTGATAGCTTCAAGTACAAATAAGTTTATTTATTTATTTATTTTAATCTATTTAATATGTCATACATTTTCATTCATTTCTTTTTCCTTGTGTTTATTTTAATAACCAATTTTGAATAGTCATTTTTTCCTAGTTATTACAAAGTTTAGTCTTATTATTATATCTTGCAACATTGATTATACATTAAAAAAGTGATCATTAAAAGAAAAATTTAATCACTTAATTTATTATTTATCATTCTAAAATAAACTCAAAGATTAAAAATCCCTCAAAATGTAAATCGAGATAACATATAAATACACTCGGCGTGTCCTAAAAACAGATCGAATATTTTCTAACTGATCTTAAGACAAAAGTCAAGCAGTCTTGAAATTAAATCATCAAGAATGTATCCTAAAAATAGATAAAATTAAAAGACTGTTTTAAAAAATTGTTACAATATTACTAATCTTTGTTTTTAAAAATAAGTAACATAATTCATAATCTTTGTTATTTACAAATAACTTTACTTGTTGGGGAAATTTACATATAAAGTCCACAATTCCTATGTACATATCTCCCACCTAAAATTTCATATTAACGTACATAGCACTTTGGGGCTTTAAACTTATGCATATAAAGGTGTATTTCACTTATAAAAAGTAGTAATTCTTTAACTATTTTTTGTGAAATTAAAGATTTGAGTGATATGTGTGTAAATATGAAACTTTAGGTGTTAGATATGAAAATATATAAGAATTGTGTGCTTGGTATGTAAATATAAAAGAAATCGTGAAATAGCATATTACCTTTAAAAGTAAATATATATGATTTGTGTGCTAGGTATGAAATATCCGTCAAAAATACATGCCACAATATTCTTGTATATTTACATAACACCTAAACATTCTGTTTTGCCTGTAAGTGGACCAATCCCTCCTGGACTGATCGAGAGCCATCCAACCGCCAGCCTGGTCAGTCTTTCCCGTGAGAAAAAGCAAGGCGCAGGTGGGGTCTACGAAGGGCTTAATCACATACTCAATGAGGAGAAATTAAAAGAATTTGGGGGGAAAAGTGGAGAAAGAAAGTTTTTGAAATGCTGTGGGAGGATTCTATTAAGAGGAGTAACCTAGGGTTTGTATTTTTTATGCATGTATTTGTTGGTGGTTGTGTTTTTTCTTTTGGCGGTGTTCCTAACGACGTTGAGGGTTGTGGAAGAGTCAATCTACCTCTTGAAAAGTAGATCATCATTGTATCTTGCTTGTTTGCATTTGTTTTTCGTAACAGCAGCCCTCATTTGAGTTTTTCCATCTATCTATTGTTGTTTCGTCATTGTCGCTTGATGATATTTGGTTCTGGAGCATAACACATTCATGTTTACATGCATTCCACTCAAATCTTCAACATGGAATAAAAAATACCAGCATCACTATATTTTTAACAGTGAAATACACTTTTTTCACACATAAGTTCATGACAGCAAGGTGTTATAAGTTTTAATATCATACTTTGCGTGTTAGACATGTAAATACATCATGTATGTAAATTTTCTAAAATTAAAATAGATAGGCAGATGGCGAACCTTAACAAAAAAGCATGGTCACAGATAAAAAGCATACCAATGCAAAATTGTCATCAGTGCCTTTATTTATGTGCTCTTCACTTGGAATGAGATGAGCAGTCGTTAGCTCCCATGTAGACCAAATCTTTGCAGCCATAAGCTGAATTAATCCGTCAAATTACCAAATCAGTCCAACATTTGCTGCTTTTAAAGGTAAAGTGATATATATATAAAGGAAATAATATAAGATAATTCCTTGAATGCCAAAAAAGGGCATGGCTAGCTTCTTAAGCGTGTCTTTATTATTTTTAAGGGCATTTACATACATACCATGCAATTCATATGTATTTACATATCTAACAACTAAATTTTACTTTTTTTTTACATTTATACCACCCCAATCTTTCAAATTACAAAAAAAATACAACTATTTTAACTTTTAAAAGTGAAATACACCTTTTCATGCATATCGGTGAGGTGGTATATATATAAAAATTAAAGTTTAGGGGCTAGATATGTAAATACATTGGAATAGAGTGGTATGCATGTAGATCTTCCTTTTTTTTAAGATGTGGATTTATTTCCTATGACCGATTTCTACTAACATAGCACTTTGACTACTGTTTCTCTCACAGGCAATCAATAATCTGTACAGTTACCCCTAAAAAAAAAAAATATGAATCACTGGTCTTACCTTTTGCTCAAAACTTTAGCGCATTTTATTAAAGCCAGTGTTTTAAACAATGTAGTATATATCCAACTTTCATGCTTTTCAAAGTCATATCCCATGTCATGATGCATTGAAGCATCCCGCTTAAACTACTAATGAATTGGTTAAAGTGTAATCCATGCTTAAGAATGAAACGGCTAGGAACACTCGACAACCAAAAAAAGTGGCATTTACATATATACCACCCAATTCTTATGTATTTACGTAACTAACACAAAACTTCACTTTCTACATTTCTACCAACCAAACCTTTCATATCACATAAAAAATACCACCATTTTAACTTTTAAAAATTAAAATGCACTTTTCATGCATCGGTAAGGTGACATTTAAGAAAAAACTGAAGTTTAGGTGTTAGATATATAAATACATAGGAATTGAGTGGTATGTATGTAAATCTCCAAAAGAAAAAAAAAGGATGATGATCGACTGTCAAAAAAATAAATATTTAACTGTTACTGCAAACAATTTAAAAATGCTATTTTTACGAAAAACTGACCATTGCAGAAATTTAAGGGACATTATTTTAAGCAAATGCCAATCAAACAAAACCAAATTTTGGCTACTATACTAACAGTTACTGTGGCTAAGCAAACATAAGAGTGGGGGCTATGAAAGAATAAAGAAAATATGCAATTACGTACCGTCTGGGAAGATGGTAGCAGCACCACCCTCATAGAACCACTCAAGCTCCTTCTTCCTCAATAAAAATATTCCTCTAAGAATCATACCAGTGACCTAAAAGCATCTTAGAAAACTTCAGTAATCGTCCGTAAAATAATTTTACAACTAGACACAGAGAATTTTAAAGGAGCTTTGGAAACGGGTTATCATGCAGGGTGTTAACAGACGGAAAATTTTCAGAGGTATATAACAGGTTATTTGAAATAAAGGAAAGATAGATGGAAAATATTAGAAAAAAAAAGGGCGTTTACATACAGACCACCCAATTCCTATTTAATTACATATCTAACACCAAATTTTTTTACTTGTTAAATTTATACCGCCAAAATGTTTTATATCACCTCAAACTTACCACCATTTTACCTTATAAAAAATTGAGATTCACCTTTCTATGCATAAGGTGAAACGTACGTAAATATTGAAGTTAAGGTTTTAGATATGTAAATACATAGGAATTGAGTGGTGTGTATGTAAATCTTCGAGAAAATAAATGCTTACTTTGTCAGCATGCTTTTGACTGTATGCAAGTGCCAGAGTGCTTCCCCAAGATCCACCAAACACCTGCATCATGAATCATTAGCATCTCTATCAAACAAGTTGCACGAAAAAATCCATACCCAAGGAAAAAGGGGCATTTATAACACACCCAATTCTTATGTATTTACATATTTAACACCTAAACTTATTTTTTACATTTATAGCGCCCAAATCTCTCATATAGCATAAAAAATACCATTATTTTAGCTTTTAAAAGTGAAATCCACCTTTTCATGCATAGGTAAGGTGGCATACATGTAAAAATTGAAAGTTTAGTGTTAGATATGTAAATATATGAGAATTGAAATTTTCCAAATGAAATTTACCTGCCATTCGGAAATCTGCAAATGTTCCCTAAGCAGTTCGATGTCATTAACCAAGTCCCAGGTTGTGTTATCCTCTAAACAAGCATGCGGTGTGCTTTTTCCTGCACCTCGCTGGCATATGTTTCTAAATTGTGACAACAAAACATTTCATGGCCAAGAAAATGCAAAAAATATGAATTAAAAGTAATACCTGGTCAAATAAAATAATTCTATAAAATTCAGGATCAAAGAAACGTCTATTGCCCGCAGAGGTTCCACCTCCTGGTCCACCGTGAAGAAAAACAACCGGCTGGGAAGATACACAGTCAGCAAGAGGAAACCATTAATATCAATGAAGATTAAAATATTGGGAAATTTACATACATACCACAAAATTCTTATGTATTTACATATCTAGTACCCAAAGTTTGATATTTACACTTATAATGCCTTGGTGTCTAAAACTATGCATGAAAAGGTGTAGTTTACTTTTTAAAAAATAGTGATCGTGGTAATTTTGATGTGATGTTAAGGATTTGAGGGGTATGCAAGTAAATATGAATGTTTGGGTGTTAGAAATGTAAATAAATAAGAATTGTGTGGTTATGTATGTAAATGCCCCTAAATTATTTCCCAATATCACTAAATTTATTTTTCTTTCTCAAAAACAAGGTGCAAGTTGCATATATAACACTATAAAGCTTGCAAAAACATATAAATAGCTTCTTCTTAGTTTTCATTATATATGGTTCCTTTGCACACAATTTATTTCAGAATAAAGGAACAACTTTTCGTTAACGAATGCATTAAGCATTGAATTTAGAGACTAGAACTTTATTCTGGGGACTGTCATACCACTCAATGGAAGACAAGACATTCTGAACAATTAAGAAATTTAAAGGTTCTGAGTTCTAATCCACTCAATGGACGACAAGACATTCTGAGCAATTAAGAAATTTAAAGGTTCTGAGTTCTAATCCACTTATTTCTTTGAAATAAACCGAATACCATTATACCTTATTTTTAAAGAAGAAATAGATATCTATATAATAATTATCTTAAGAACCATTCACAATAGAAGGATGAAGATTCAGACATCTAGATAATATGTGTTGATATCAAATATAATTTGCTTGAAGAATATATAATTCCACCTAAATTTATCAACAGTGAATCCACACTTTTTGTTTAATCAATTAAAATCCAAGTAATCTAGATATCAACCAGTTTAAAAGCTATATGGATTACTTCAATCTAAAATTCTACAGTTAATTATTATATAACAACAATCCAGAAGACAATAAGCACATCCAACTTAATGTTGTCTATACATCACTATTGCTATATAAGCATGCATGTGAGATTTTAATATACTATGCATAATGTTGATGAGAGTTACTGCATGCCTTCAGTGTATTCAATGATTATAAATAATTAGTTGTAGTAGATATATGGGTATACTGTATAATTTACATGTATAATCAGAGGACGGCGACCCCATCAAAAACTTGTAACTCCCATATATCTACTACAACTAACTATTTATTCTTAAATTGATTTAAAGTATCTGAGGTCAATTAAAATATTTTATCTTCACCAATTTAAGAATTTTTGGGATATGTTATGTTCAATATGAAGGGAATTAAAGATGAGGCTAAGTTATTAATCATTAATAATGTTGGACTCTGAAATGATGATTATAACCTTTTTTTTTTACTTTAATAAGAAATTTGAATACTTAAGAAATCTACAGGAGGGCCTAGTATACTCTCATAAGGCTCTACTGAGCCATGAGATTATTTGAGGGCAAATAATAAGGTAAATTTAGGGGTATTGATATGAGTTAATTTTACATGATTTTATTTATATTTCACCATTCTTTTTACCTATTATTTCACTTCATTTATCATGATTTTATGATTGTGGAAGGTTCTTTGTGATATTTTACAGGTTATAGGTGTCAAGCCCACAAAAGAAAGCCAAAATGCATGAAATAGTGTTGAACAACATGCCTTGCGAGCCAAAACTTATGCGATGTAAATTGGTCGTGCAATGCAAGCACACGTCTCAAGTAGTATGTCATCTAAGAATCCGCATATTAATCCCACAAAGAAATTATTAACAATTATTTCTAAATAAAAAGCTATAGTTTCTTAATTTAGTGAACATAGTATGGAGTGACTGCATAAAAGGTTAAAGTCTTAAGATTCTAGCAAAAATAGAGTAATTTGTAGGCTTTGATAGCAAATTAAGCGCTTGAAAACAGATCATTACATGCTGCTTTCTAAAGACGATATTTCAAATATGAGAAGAAAAGTGCCAGAATGGTCCCCTGACTATTATTTAATGGGTCCTTTTAATCCCAAGCTCTATAAAAATGTCAAATTAGTCCCTAGACTCTTTAAGTTTGGGCTCAAATAGTCTTTCATGCGAACTATTTCGGCCCAAAATAAAAAACCTGGGAATGAAATTGGCACTTGTATAGACCCTGAAACTAAAATGCGCCCCCCCTCAATGAGTCGGGAGATTGACATTTTTTTTACAGATTTTGAGTTAGAAGCTCACATGCCCTGATGGATTTCCTGATTGTTCCCAGTACAGCGTATGGATATCTGAGACCTTCAAAAATCCTGAGTTGTATGGTTCTATGTCTGAATAAAGAGTCCTCTTGAACTCTTGAAGCTCCTTCGAAAATTCCATTAATCCTCCAACTTGCTGACTCACATAAGATGGCTTAAGTTCAGAACCTAAAGAGGAATTACATTTTACCCAACATGATTTCATAATGAAAAAAAACTATAATCCTAAAATAGAAGAACTTATAAATTGGTGCCACAACTACTGCTCATTAGGTATTTTGCATGGAAAGAAAGTATTTCATTTAAACACAAGTTACTTAATATGAACAAAAACAAACTATTTCAATATGTCACCATCTTTTGGGTGAAAGTGAAACATCTTACTTTCAAATGAAATGCCTCATGTCTAGGTAACATATATATATTCTTTTGCAGTTTTGCATGCTAAAGACAAACAGTTAGATATGAAATTAATTTTTTGGTTTTGAAAGGTCTCAACATAGACAAATGAAGCAGCGCCAATTCCAAATTTCCTGTTTCAAATGAGCATGAGGATTCAGCTGAAACTAAGTACTAATCCTACAATCCGTTTATAAAAAAATAGACCTTCTTGAAGGAAAAGAAGTATGACCAAATTTATTTCAATAAAAAAGAGGAGTCTCACAAAGAATTATCTCATATCAGTTTCCCTCCGTGAAATCCCTTAAATAGATTGAAACTGAATTCTTAAACATTGATGCGCCTTTTGGTGTAATGGTTAGAGTTTAGTCATAAACTCCAAAGTGTGCTCGCATGGGAGCACTCCTAGAAAGAGTGACCTCCTAAAAATTACAACAACAAGGTAAAACCGTGTCAATAGGCACAAAGCGGATAATATCTCGATGGGTGAGAGTTTGGGCTATTACAAATGATATCAGAACATTTCACTAACTTAAAAATGGGAACTAAGTGTCATACAAAACAAAGTGTAACGCCTTGGGAGCCACCTCTTTTACCCAAGTCCGGACAAAGTGCTATATGGTGAGAACCACCTCTTAAATATGTAGGTGTCACCTCTAGATTTCTACCTGCCTGGTAGATGATTTTGGGCTAAGATCACTAACGAGGATGTAAGTTACTTAAGTGAGGGAGATTATGAAACCCGTTAAGTAGAAAGAAGATGAACTCCTAAACTTCGAGGTGCCTTTTGGTTTAACAGTGAAATTTCATCATAAAATCTAAAGTTTAAGCGTACTCACTTGGGAGCACTCTCGGGATGGGCGATCTTCTGAGAAATCACACCGAGACAAAACTGTGAGGCAATCAGGTCAAAGCAGACAATATCTCGGTGGGTGAGAGTTCAGACTGTTACACAATTCTTATGTATTTACAAATCTAACACCCAAAATTTATATTTACATTTATAACACTATAGTGTGATAAACTTATGCATGAAAATATATATTTCACTTTTAAAAAGATAATAATGGTAATATTTTTGTTGTGATGCTAAATAGTTGAGTGATATTCATGCAAATATGACTTTTTAGGTTTTAGATATGTAAAAGATAGGAATTGTGTGGTATGCACGTATAAATAGAAAGCCAGTTAATAGGTTGAGAGATAGCATTATCATGCCGCTTTCACCGGCTACAAGGAAGTTTTTGCTGATAATTTCTTTTGTCATAAATTTTTTCTGTAGGATGTTTCTCTTATAACTTCCACTTTTTTGCTTGGTTTAACTGTCTAATGCGTTAGCTGTCATTTTAGTTTTTAAATTGGATGGTTTACTTTTTGAACTTTTTTCGAACTTTGCTGGAAGCATTATTGAATTGAATTTCCTTAAACTGTGAATGTTTTCTTATAATTAATGCAACATTTGGAGCAGGTGGTTATGTTGTGCAGGATGAAAAGTTGCCACGCTATGTCATCCCTGATCTGACCGACTTCAAGGTAAAATATTGAACTAACAGGTTTCATGCATGATTGTAATGACGTACACTAAACTGCGTGTTAAACAAAACTTTACTCATCGAGTGGTTATTCAATCATGTTAAAACAAAGGTAATACATTTTAACGTTAAGGTGAGGCAGTAATTCTTTTTGCCTGATATATTAGGTTTAATACAGAATAATATGCTGTAAATTATATAAATAAAGGACCAATTTGGCTCATTTACTTTACATGGAAATTTTTTTCTTTAAATAGTTGATTTATAGTCAAGATCATCATCTTAAACACTTTTCCATTGGCAACACACCTTCATCACTAGTTTTCTTGTAATTCTTACACTTGCATCCCCCATTTTTCCCCAACTAAACTGAACATTTGCTTCCAAAGCACATAAATGGACGGCATATGCAAAAGAGGCATTGATATTGTTAGCCTCAAGCATATGCATAGCTTAATCTGTAAATTTTGATTGTTATAATGGGCATAAAACACGCACACTGAGTAGACAAAAGATGAATTTTATGTACAAGGAGAGTCAAAGAGGTAGGGGAAAAAGGGATTGAGAAGATAGATGAATGAACACATTAGAATAAGCGACACAAGACTTAAGAGTCGAAGTAACAAGAGAATTCTTAAAAGGGAGAAAATCCCATGAGAGGCTACACAAAAAAACTCAATATCAATTCATCTTCTCATGTTATTTCATTCCATTATACGACATAATTTCCTTATTATTAAACTTTGTGTTACAAGAGAAGATCAAAACTGAAATCAAGTATATCCTTATCGAGCCTAGACTAAAATTATACCAAAGGATAATTGGGCAAAATAAAATTGATGAATTAAGTCCTTAACTTTATTTCTCGTATGGTAACGTATCACATTGTTCATCACAAATAACTTTACTTTTATTGGGTAAAGCAATATAATTTGAACTTTATTATTATTTTAATAAATAAATTATCTTGTTTCTTTGAATTGTAATTTACTTTTCCTAAGGTATTGCAGTATGTATATTCCTTAAACTAGAAACTCATTCATTAAATTATGCCATGAGTCTCATGACCATGCCCTAAGGCTTGGATTTTTTGAGAGAATTGATGATCAAACGGTGAAATTCAAGTCTAATATCAATTACTATCACTAACAATTAATCATATAAATTATTAAAAAAACCTACTAATGAATAAAATTTATTAAAACAAATAAAGATAAATTTACATTCTTCTGGATTGATTGCGTCATTTATAGACATTCTTCCTTACGTTACTCATTCTATAATCTAATATTAAACCTGAAATTGTTTAGTTTAAAATTGTGTGAGCTATCAACTAGTCAGTGAATACTCTTACTTTTAAATTACAGTAATATAAAACATAAGAAAATAATATATATATTAATCAATCAACATAAAAATAAATGAAAATTTACTATTCAATTGTGACCTTTCAAGTTAATTCATAACATTATATCATATAGTATATTATCTTATTTTATCTATTTTCATTTGTCATGAGAGTTGTTTGGCATCCTAATCATTAAATCTTCTTAATCCTTATAAACTAATGTGTTATTTATTTCAAAATTTAGGATTGTGAAAAGAAAGGTCCTTAAATCCGTTCAGTCATATGAACAGTGGGATTTCAACAAATCATGTATTAGTCAATAATGTCGTTGAGTCAGAATTTATCAAAGCAGTATGATGAAAAACCCAAAATGCCTTTAGGCAAGACTTAAGCTGTGAAGTTGTTGTTTGAAAAAGCAACTGTTAGAAAATTGATATTTAAAAATTGTATTCTCTTTGAAAAATGCAGTTGTAAATCTGTTGTGCTATAGTTTTTCATGAACAAAAGACAAAAATGCTCTTATATGCAATTGTATAAAAAATAAACAAAAACATTTAAAATAGTTAAACAAAAAAACTTGTTAAAAATACTCATTACAATATACATTAAGAGATTACACGACCCATTAAGTATAACTAAATAAAAACTAACAAACAACATCATTTCACCCATTAACTAATATATTTGTAATTTGCGCTCTCCAATCAATCATCTTCCCTGCACCGTTCACATAAATCACAATTAACTTATGATATTGACTGCTCTAACCAATATTCATATGCTTTTGGAGGGAATTGTGATTGATTTTCATCTGCACCACTAAAATCAATATCAATGCGTAAAGAATGCCGACAAACATAATTGTGTAAGCATCGCCGCCAAAGTGAAGCTAGAGAACGATAGGCATTCAAAGGTTGCCTAAGACATTTCTACTTGTGAAACGTCGGAGGACCGAAGTTGTGAATATTTTGCGATCTGAAACGTGAGAGAAATCAACGGTACGATGTGTTTTGTTAGCGTTCTCTAGAATCTGGATCGGGAACAAAACCGTGCCACCCTCTAAAATAAAGCCTACATTTTTAAACAAGTGGGTGTCAAGAAGCTAATTTTAATGCCAACGTCCTAAACTTGAATGCCAGGTATATCAAATGTGTGCTTAGCAATCACCGTTCCGAAAAAATAAATATAGTTATTTCAAAACCATGAAAGTGCAATTCCCATGAAGTTCCTTCCCCGTTTTCTCCTACAAGCAACAGAAACCTAGGGCTGCAAGACATCACCCAGAGTCCCCGTATCTCTATCCATACTATAAGCCATACCACTAAATCCACAGGAAACTTCCACGGCCTCTCTAGAAACTTCCTTTACTCCCAAAATCAAAGAACACTTCACTCCTCTGCTGAAGATACATCATCGCACCAGCAAATCCATACAACTCCCGATCACAGAGATCCCCTCAATCCCGCCAGGGATCGAGATTACTGGTTCGAATTAGTACAAAAAATGGGAAAGAAATGAGTACCTAGAAGAAGGGAGCCGAAGCGAATTGGACGAAGAGGGCGCAGAAAGGAGAAGGGTGTGCGATTCTGAGGTAAAAGATAGCAGAGTGAGGCCGCTCTGCTCCACTTCACCGAGGCCGGGCTTAGCCTTGAGGCTGTCATCATTGGGTCTGATTCGCTTCTATTTTTACATATAGGGATCGGGAAGATTTACAGACATACCACCCAATTCTTATGTATTTACATATCCAACACTCAAACTTCCATTTTTACATGCATGTCAATTATTTTATTTTATTTTTATTAATATGTTGATATTCTCGATATGATATGAAAGAATTGGATGATGAAAAAGTTAAAAAATATATATAATTTTAAGTGTTAGGTATGTAAATGCATAAAAATTGAGTGGCATGCTGTAAATGCCCCCCTAAACAATAATAATTATAAGTTTGTTGCATCATTATTATAATTATAAATAATTAAATTTTTTATAAAATTTTGTTTCATTTCTTAGGAGAAGTTAATGAGATTATGAATATTAGTTTGATCTCGTGTAATTGTAGTTCGGATTATTGAAAAAGATAACAAAAAATGATGATCAGAAATGGGGAGAAAAATAATAGCCAGTTAAAGTTGATGGTTTGAGAGCTCAAACTTTCACTAGTTAGGATATTGTCCGTCTTTGGTCTAGTGACCTCACGATTTTGACTCATCCAAAAAATGATGATCAGAAATGGGGAGAAACATAATAGCCATGTAAAGTTGATGGTTTGAGAGATCAAAGTTTCACTAGTTAGGATATTGTCGGTCTTTGGTCTAGTGACCTCACGATTTTGACTCATCTGTGTAAGTTTCTGAGAGTTCGCCCATCTTAGGAGTGCTCTATCACGAGTCGCTTAACTCTGGAGTTTCTGATTAAATTTCACAGTTACCTCAAAGGGCACCTCAATGTTTAAGAGTTCGTTTTCATTCTACTTAAGAGATTTCACAAATTGGACAATATTAATTAGAAAAAAGTAGTAGGTGATGATCGCAAAACATGTTCGAACAATAATGATTACAAAAATCTATTTTGTTGAATTCAACAAACATTTTTATTTATTCAAATGGATTGTTTGAACGAATAAATAAAAAATTTGTTGAGTTTAGCAAAATATTTTTTTATCAATTTTTTTAATAGATAAATTTTAATTATTTAGATGATTTTTTCATGCCCTCATGCGATAGATTTCTTATTGAAAATCAAATATTAATTAATTTTTTTATGATTATTCTCGAGAATTAAATTATATTGTTCATAATTATAAACAAATCAAACAACTAACAATTCAAATTTGTTTATTTAGCAACCATGTGATTATAAAAATATTCAAACTTATCATATTAATTAATCAAATAATCATGAATGAATAAATTATTGGATACATATATATATATATATATATATATATATATAA